TCAGGATAATGAGCCCATAGATAAATGTAAAAAAAAACAAACAGGATATTGAAATGGCTGTTGTAAAATGACAAATGAAAAACTAAATTCTAAAATCCTGAAAGTGAACGAAGAAATGGAAATAAATAGAAACAGAAGTGGATAGTTGGTCCTGCTGCATTGTGGGTCAGTTTACGGTCCATGAGCACATATGAAGCATTTCCCTGTGGTTCTGTTTGGATGGAGGTGAAGTTCATGTGCTGTGGTTACCGTTGGCTGAATGTAGAGGAGCAGTGTAATCCTTTGATGAAAACGTTTGTATAATTGTGTCATTCTAATTTACCTCATGTTGCATGTCACATCATACCGTAGCTGTAGGGACATACAGAGCAACAATATCAATGATATTGCAAAATAATCAATGCAGACAACTTTACTGCTTTAACCATGTAAAATTATATATTTTCATGCAGATTTGAACCCATCAGGACAGTTTGATTTAGTGTATTTACTTTACTGTGTGTGTGTGTGTGTGTGTGTGTGTGCGTGCACTCTTCCCCACACACACTAAATTTGCCCTCAGCTGTGCTCACAGATAATGTGCCATGTCCTTAAGGACTGTCTGTTTTATCATCTCTTCTCACTCTGCTTTGATCATAACCAGCCAGCTTTCTTTCTTTCTTTCTTTCAATTAATTGGGCCTTATCCTAGCTCTACACTCTTCATTACATCAATGAGAGACATCTGATCATGAAGACTGTTCCACCTCAGTGAGAAGAAAGCTTCCTCTGTGGGATTGAGGTACTGAGAGTAAGTAAAGAAGGAAAGATGACACCATGCTGGGATGTGGTGTAAACCACTCTGTGACTGGACAGTGCTTGCTCATTGTGGGAACTGTTGGGTTTCTCTATATTAATATGAAGGTCTTGACCTTCTATGTAAAGTGCCTTGAGATAATGTATATTATGATTTGGTGCTATACAATTAAAATTGAATTGAATTGGATTGGTGAATCATCAGATCCTCCGATGGTAACAAACAGATCTGGATTCAGCCTCACCCCCCTCTTTCCTCACCTGACACAAATCCTCAATGAGGCTCTTAGTGTCGTATGGTCCAGCTGACAGTTAATGTAACAGCAGATGGTGTGAGACCCCTCTGGACTCGCTGCTGTTGTTTCCAGTGAGGTTGGTTTCTCATGTTTTGGGCAAGTTGAAATCAGCCTCATACACATGAATGATTGTGTGAGCTGTTGTCCTGGCTCCAAGCTCTAAAATGCAGCCATAATGAAACATGAGAGATGAACCATTACAGGATATGTCTATTTCCTGGGCATGGTTTGGTGAAGCCGGTCTTCTTACCTGGACAAACTGGTACTGAGCTCCTCAACACATTCAGAGTTCATTTCAGAGAGGACAGGGTATCAGGATGTTTGTTCAGTGGTTGTACTTTGAACATATCAAGATTCTTATGCAAACCCTCTGTCCTACATTTTCAAGTTTTATTGTATTGTTGTTATCAGTTTCCTGTTCAGCAGTTGATATTCCATTTCCCTGAGTGGGAGGGAAGTGCTACATCCTGAAGCACAAACACAAAATTAAACACAATTGTCCCATGTATAGTAAGCTACTGCTAAAATATCCAGTATTGGTTATCTGACATGATCAGTTATAGTTCCTCTTTCATCAGGGACAAACACCGCTCTGAGTCTTCCTCTTTTAGACATACCAGTCCTTTTACTGGTCACTCTATGTCCTCTGCCACTCACAACACTGTGCCTGACCATGTTTAAACAGAAAAACGAATTCCCAAGAGTTGCCCTTAATTTGGATGGAATTAAAACAGCTAAAGTGTGAAGTGTGATTGTCATTTTCTGTTTTTTTCTAATTTCTAGATGCATAGTTTAGTCCACACTGACTGCTGTTGTGCTGACTATGTCACAAGGTTTAAAAACGCAGTGTAGAGAAATGTGAGTTAGCAAATTCGGAGCGTATTCATTTATGCTCTCACATGAATTTTCCTGAGCTCATGTGTGGTCTTGATTTCCTTGATTTGTGCACAAGCAGCAAATGAATGTCAATTTGAATGTGGCTATAGAAATCCAAGCTGATAGTAGCTGCTGTACTAGCAACCTGAGGTGCAGACAAACACATTAGGTGTGCAAATATGTATGTACCTTTAGTCCCTTGGGTAGTTAAAGCTGTATATTGTTGGATTCTGAATGTCCCATAATGCACCTGGATTATGTCTTTCATCAGACCATCTCTAAACATCTAACTCCAAACCTCACCTGTCTATAATGCAGGCTTTATTTTTATTTATTTTTATTTTTAATATTTTACATATGAACTCCACCCTGAGCTGTACAGAAAATTTTTTTACAACACAAGCTGAGTATTACTCCTTGTGATGAGTACGCTTTCAGTTAATGAGTACAATTGGTGGAGTGCTCCTTTGATTGGTGTTTTTGCCCTTAGCAGAATTTTTCTCAAATTTTCTTTTAACCAGAATCCCTTTTGATGAATCATGATCTACTAGAAACTTTTAGTTGGAGGTGGTAAACTATCGAACTAGAAATGGAAACACAATCTATAAATGACGAACACAGTAAATTAAAAGAAATGCTGAATGTTGCCCTGTGTACCAACAAAGATGTCATCACTGCACATAACGATGATGAGAGGAATCACTGGGTTTTGTGTTTAAATGCCAGGGATTGTGGGTAATGCGGACCGTCAGTCCATTAATAAATGAAACAACCATATGATAAAGACATATGGCCCGCTCTGATCTGCCCTTGGCTGACACAGAGTGTGTGCAAGGAAAAGGCAATCGAGCTGAGTGAACCCAGTCGAAAGCTGAGAGGGAGATGTAGAGGAAGAGCTGGACACAGGCAATAGACACGAGCAGTATGTGGGCTGAATGTGTGAATGTGTGGGTGTGTGAGTGTGAGTGAATGTGCGTGTGCATGTATGTGTGGGAGACAGCGTGTGGGCTTTCAGAGGGGGAGTTAAGTATCTGTGGAGGGATGTGAGACCTCTCTTCCTCTCTGAAACTGCACTGCCTGTCTTTAGGCTCTACACACACACACACACACACACACACATACACACACACTAGAGAGGGAGAGTTGCTGCCGTTGAATCATATCATCTTTTCTCTTCTTTTATTGTGCACCATGCTTTTTCTTACCAAGGACCTCGGGTGTCTGTCAGGATGTTTTATATAATTTCAAAGGTTTTTCCTTTTTTGTGGCAGGTTTCCTGTTGACTAACAAATCACAATGTGCACACGTCGAGTTGTAAAAGTCACATTGCCTCTTTGCTAAGCCAGTTTATTGTGCACATTTTCAGAAATCTTGCTGAAAGCCAGTCAAACCACTAACACTATTAGGTAAAGTGTTACACATTACTCACTGAACTGAGCAGAAGAAGCAAAGGATTTCATTGATTGTTGTTTTTCTATATTTCAACTATCTACAAACAGCTCCAAACCCACTAAACTCAAAAGCCACATCTTTTGTTTTTGAATCACATGTAGAAACAGAAAAGAAGCGATCATCTCTGCAACTGTACATGCCTTTACTCAATCATCACTTTATTTAGATATATGTGGCTGTACCCTCAAAACTAATATGACTAAACAAGCCTTAATAACCTGCCAATTCTGTTGTCACCTCCCAGCATCAGGGGAAATCCTAAGTACCTGGTGGCCATCCATAAAGATTTGACTCTTTTCAGCAGGTAGACAGGATTCAGCATAAATTCAGCAGATACCACTTTAGATGTCTGTGTAGAATACAGAACCACCCCCCTTAGTCAAAATTAACAAATTGCCAACTGTGCTGTGGTTAATATTTCTGTAGAATCTGCCAGATACCCTGCACCTTAAGCATATCCCACAACAGTCTGCAGAGCACAGAGAGACCACCCTGATATCAACCCTCCATGGTATTGTCATATACCAGGTTTTAACCAAGTATTGTTTCAACCCAGAGCAATCTCATACAAACAGATTGTATGAATACAATAATAACTCAAATAGATCAAAAAGAACTTATCAAACTTTTAATCATCACATATATTCTCTGGACAACACACACACAAACACACACAAACACACACACACACACACACACACACACACACACACACACACACAAACACAAACACAAACACACACACACACACACACACACACACACACACAGGCTGTCAGCTCCGGTCAGGACATCATGTCATGAGCTCTTTATATACAGTCTATGGTCATGAGTCTGCCCAAAGTCCAGTCCATGTTGTCTTCACTGGATCTCTTGAGATCAACTAGACCTCCTTATTTCCTTCTCTTACAGCTAACTGATGATGGATCTATATGGCAGAGGAGAGCTAGGGCTGCTGGGAGGAGGGGAGAGCCTGAGAGATGACATGGGCGGATCTGGGATCAGCTGGTCGTCCAATCGACTGCCAGAGGACATGTACCCATCATCAGGATTGGCCTTGGCTGCAGCCTATCATGACATTAAGACCCGGCTGGCCAGTCTGGAGAGGGAGAACAGCAGCATCAAGAGGAAGCTGAAACACTATGAGGTCAAGGTGGAGAGCAGCAGCAGAGAACACACACACAGCCCGCATACAGATTTAAATGAACAATAAAGAATACAAACTGAGAGAATGAAGAATTTTATACAGTGTGAATGAATTATTTCCTGAAAATTCCTCCTCTCCTCTTTTCTCCTATAGTTTCCCATGATCAGTGAATTCGGAGAGGAGAGGATAGTGTGTTGTTCCTGTGAGCCCATCACCAAGGATGCCAGTGTCATTCAATCAGAGACCACAAACCTACAACAGAGGATCAACTCTCTCACTCAGGAGGTACAGTATCACTGCAGCCACTAGTTATAGTAGATCTCATAGTCTCTCTGATAAATTGCACAAGTTATATTAATATTAATATATTATATATTAATACCCTCAGTGATAGTTGCTCCACAGAGATATATCTAAGGTTGAAGGTCAAAGGTCAAGGTCACTGTGACCAGGTGTTAGGTCACAGTGACCAACCTTAGATATATCTCTGTGGAGCAACTATCACTGTGCATACTTGTCATTACATCTGGCACAAACGTTATTTTGGACTCAAAGACAAACTGATTAAATCTTGGTGGTTGAAGATCAAAGGTTCAAGTCAATGTGAACTCAAAAAAACACATTTTTGGCTGTAACTCAAGAATTCACATGCTAGTTGTGAAAGAATTTCATATTAATGTCGCTGCGCTCTGAAATAATGGCCCTAACCTGCACAGTATAACCCCTCAGAGAGAAGTGTAAGATGACTGTTTACCTCTCTCAGCTTCAGAAGAGTAAGGAGAGAGAGGAGAGGCTGGAGGAAGTCATCCAGGCATATGAGAAGATTCACTTGGAGAAAAGCAATGTACAGAGAGACCTAGACAAAATGGTAAACACACGCACACACACACCAATGTTATTTGTAGGATAGAGCATTTATGCCATTGTATAGCCGTTTGGGTATTAGTTCCACATGTGTAAAAGTGTGTGTTTTGTGTCCCTCAGACGACTCTAGCGGAGCAGCACGTAGAGAGGATCTGCAGTTTGGAGTCGGCTCTCAGACAAAGAGAGACGTCCCTTCAGAAACTCAGCACTCAACTCCGCAGCAAAGAGGCCCGTCAGTCTCAACTCCACGCCAGCCTGGACGTACCCAGAGGTGTGTTCCATCTGGACAGAGAGAACAGTACACCCAATCAGATTATAGAATATGCAATTAAGTAGTACTTCTTGTATATACTTGTATGAGAGAGCCAGTCATAATAGTTGCTGTATACCGGACAATTACCAGGTGATAATATCACTATTCAAAAAGCAGGATCATCGAGACTAACCTCTTTCTACCACAAGACTTGATTCAACTGTTGCCTCGATTTCATCACTGAAGCTGTTTTCAGATATGACCTCTGGAGGAACTCCAGAGAATTAGGTCCGGACTTTCTCCAGAGGTTTCCTTTCACACTTAAGTAACACAGCAATGACAACGACATTAAGTAAAAATGATGTGATTTTAAATGTGGTGAAAGTTATCATTAGCTACAGTTCAGTCATAACTACCAATAAATATTGATTGTAAAGTCCCTATACATAAAAAGACTGTGCTCTTGATTTAGGAATTGAAGTCTCTTGCTCCACTGGTGTCATTGTACTTGAGAGAAAGGAAACAGATTGAAGCTGTTTGGTTTTTATCAGAGGGCCGTGGGCCGACGCTGCAGAGCTCCCGCAGTCTGGACGCCTTGTCAGACCTGAAACTGCAGCGACTGGAGGCAGAGCTGGATGGGGCACGGCACCGGGCAGAGGGAGCCTGTCAGAGGGAGAAGGAGCTGAGGGTTGAACTTCAGAGGCTGCAGCAAGAGGCAGCTCAGCTGCAGGAAGCACAAAGACAGGTGAACCTGATAGACATGATACACGTGGATGGGTGCACACAGTTGTCACAGAGGTAGATGAGCTGGTTGATCATCAATGGGCTTAAACATGCTAATTGTCCAGTTTAGGCCCCAAGATACAGACATGACAGTTAATGAAATAGCTCTGTGGAGAATTTGAAGCTGTCCCAAATATAGGAAACAAATAAGAATGTCTTCCATGTGTTGTTCAGTGCTGCAGCCCTAACCACAACTGGGTCTGTCCCTCTGTCAGTCACAGGAGTTGGCCCCACACTGTGAGCACTGTGACGTAGAATGGATAAAGAAAGCTGGAGATGAACAGTGAGTCTTGTTTCAGAGAAGAGCTGATTTTTGGAAGTGCTTGTTAGTTTGTCATTTACATGTATTTTCTGTGTGCTGCAGGGTGAACCTGGCGTTAGCCTACACTGAGCTAACAGAGGAGCTGGGTCGGGTTCGCAATCTGGCTGCAAAACAGAGTGACCTTCTACGACACGTCTCCCAGGAGCCTGGTAGGTCACCTGACTATAAGTTACAAGTGCAAGTGTATGAGACAAGAAATGTCACGTATTCTAACTGGTTGTGTCAATGACAAACACATGGAGGGAGTTTGGAATAATTCTGTTTGGATGAGCTTCATGTAGCCAGCGGAGTCATGTCGAAGTTAACTGCACCTAAATGTAGGTAGTGTCCACAAACACTCAAGTGGCTCAGCCTCTCTGGGATGCTGGATGTCACTCAGAACTGTAGCCTGCTGACAGAAAATAAATTCATTAGAGATGTATCAGATGTATCCACTGCAGACTTAAGCCAGAAGTTAGTGGAAGAGACACCTATCTGCAGTGCACTGCACAGACATCACTGAAAAAATGAGACTCATGCGACTTAGTAGTCACTCGTTGTGTTGTTAGAGTAGTATGGAAATGAAGCCAGGCAGCTTCTAACAAAGTGTTCATGTTACAAGAGATCTCTCATTGAGTCTTTATCACTTTCCCTCCCTGCTTCGGAGAGATCTCGTAAAACTAAGGGCAACTGAAAAAAGGAGTGGGGTGCCAGGGGTGTGCTAATGAGATGAAATCTTAATGTCTTTCCCATTCTCTGTTTTCCCTTCAGTCTCTCGTCCTCCCTCAACCCCTCAGCGTCTCTCCCCCACCTCCCCCCAGCGCCCCTCACTCTCCCCTGAGAGGCTTCTGCCCACCCCCTCTCCTCCACTCTCCCTATGCGACAGCCCTGCCTCTTACTCTCAGCAGCCAACCAGCAGCCGCCTACGAGCAAAGTTCCAGGGTCGCCGCAGTTACTCGGAGGTGAGGCATTTGTGGGGCACAATTGGACTTGGATTTCTTATAACTTTATAATAAAATGGATTATTGCATCGTGGAGTCATTTGAATATTTGACCCTCTCTTGTTCCCAGGTGTCTGACCCATCAGCCATCCACAGGCCGCCAGCGCGCTTGAGGAGGGACCCTGTTTCCACTCTCCCCAAGCCCAGGCCTCTCCTGGGCGAGAAACAGGGCTACGGCCAAAACAAACCTCAGCTCCGCACAGCCTTGTTGGGCCTTGTCAGGCCAGCCTCAGCTCATGGAGGAGGGGAGCGGGGGGGAGGAGGGGGAGGCGAGAGAGGTGAGAGAGGTGGGGGCAGCAGTTTGAGCAGCAGTCCTCATCACTGTGCATTGGACCTGGGATTTCCAATGGCTGCTGAGGTGAGACATTTGGTTTTATTGAGTGACGGCCTTATTGTTACCGACCTTAGGACACTTTCAACGTGTCCTATTTTCTGATAAATAATGACCTTTCTGTAAAACTATTTTACCTTGTATGTACAATACAATGTGATTTTTTTTGCAGGTCTGTAGGTAAAAGCATCACACAATTTTCTGTAGTCCAATAAAAAAATCTGAGTAATCTTTAGCCTTGCCTCTTCTTTCATTCAGGTGCATCACTTCTGTCGTCTTGACGACCCACCCGAACCCACCCCACTGGTGACACCTCCACAGTCCTCTGATGATGAAGAGGTGACAACCATTGAAGTCTCTGACTTTCAAGCCGGGTTATTTATTGTTAAAACTGTGTGTGTTGTGAACCACTGCAGGATGTGTGTGCATATCTGTCGCCGGCTGCCAGCCCACCTCGGACTCTGGGTGCAATCGGGATTGTCTCATCATCACCAAGAGAACAGCCACTACACCCCTCGTTCCCGTCTCCAAGGAAACAGCCCCACCATCCCTCCTTCTCTGCCCCCGAGGGCCCTGCCACCCTCTCCTGCCATCTGCCTCCCTACATGAACACAGAACATGCTCAGTCATGGCCTTCCATTAACGTGAGTAGAAGCTAGGATTACATTTAGCAGCACCTTGTGGGGAAAATGGGTCATTGCAGCAGCCAAAAGAGCATCAGTGAAAAAAGGATACACAAAACTCCAGTCCTTTAGAGAGACTTTCTTTTGTCCTTTTGGGGGGTTGGGGCTACTAGTCACTAAAATGACAGGTGAAATTAAGATTAGAATCAAATTTAGATATCCTTAATTTCTTGCAGCATGTATTGTTGGATCTAATGTCAATTATTTGAATTGTAAACATTACACAAGCTGCTAAATATCAGTTATTAGCATTTTAAACATTGCACAGTGTGATGCTATACCAATGTAATGAATGAGGAGGGCCCTTATCCTTCTCTGCGATGGAAATCTTGTGTCCTCACTGTTCATGAGAGCTCGAGTAGCCTCTGACTGGAATCGTTCACTAAGGGCACATCACTAGGATATACAGCACGTTATAATTAGAACTTCATTATTATCTCTGAACACCACCCTGTAGCATTCACTCCCATAATGCTACAGTGCTTTGAGAGGCCAGTCATGTGTCAAGAAAGCTCAAGCATCAAACACCTACGTGTGAGTGCTCAGTAATCGCTCCACTGACACCAAATGTGGAGAGTAAGAACAGTTATGTCCACATGGTCTCCAATGTGTCTACCCAATGTGTATTCATAGTGATCCAGAGAAGTGCATTGCAGAGTTGGGTGTAATTCTGACATACATTCAATATAAAAAAGTAAATAATCCCAGATCGAGTTGAACGTGTCTTCTTCAGATAAACTACAGCAGGAGCTGGCAACTGGGTCAAAAGCTGACTTACAGAGCTTTTATTTTGAAAAGTTGTAAACCTGGTCTGATGATCGTGTAGGTAATTCGGAAGTAGCTCCAGAGCTTAACCACAAACCAAGAAAAGAGGAAGCTTTGAAACAGGCACGGCACAAGTTAATGTGAAAGTCACGTTGAGCTGTCGCTTTAACAGACAGATGAAACGATCAAAGTCACATTCTCCATATTTGTTGATTCGAGAGTGGGGTTCTACTCTCTTCAGGATCAGTGGTTTCACACCTGTGTCTTCCTCTGTCTGCAGTTATGGATGGAGTCGGAGGAGAGTGCTGTTCGCAGCTGTCCTTTGTGTCAGCTGACCTTCCCAACTGGTTACCCTGATGACGCCCTCATAAAACACATTGACTCCCACTTGGAGAACAGCAAGATCTGAGTTGGGTTTTGTTGCTTACACCCAATTTCCCCCAGAGGCAATCTTGACAGATTTAAACACGGTAAAGATTTAGTGATCCTGCATGCTTCTTTCAGGGTTCCCAGTAAAACTTCCACATAGAGGGAAAGTCTGTTTTCTACACTCCAGACTCTTCATCTTTGTTCACCTGACATTCCATCATCTCTCACAAGGCACCATATCAACAATTCTGTATCAAATGTTTTTTTTTTCCTCCGTTCATAACCAAACTCTGCATTTGTACATATCTGAGTGCTGAGGAGCAGATGTAGAAAAGACAGTGCTTAATATCTCAGATTCACTGATGAAGACAGAAGCTGCTGTGTGAAAGTAACCTCATGTACTGTATGGTGATCTGAGAGCAGCTGTGGAGACAGGAGATGTGCTGAAGAACATCCGACACATGTAATGTCACCTGTTGCTTTCATGTCCCAGAATGCATCAGAGCATCTGGACGTCCCCTCTCACGTTGTCTCGGAGGATTAAAATGAAGATTCACTCTGAACTATTTCGTGAGGTCAAGAGTTTTTGGCTGGTGAATTTCCAAAACTAAGTATATGTAAAGTCAACTGTGTGAAATTCTCCAAAGGTAAAAATGTGATTCATAGAAAAATATATCATGTAGTGCCATCATCTGGCGTGCTGATGAAAGTGCATTGCTCAAACCACAAAATTTATTTTGAAAGGGCTGGAAACTATGGAAGAAAATATCTGCATCTCCATAACAATCGACTCCTCATAAACTGCTGCACTTATATCATGACAAACGTTATGACATTCATTAAATGTCATAACTGTTCATTTTTCTAGGCAATTAAGAGATTGTAGCGCACACTTGCACATTACTGCTGCTTTCAAAAAATGCTGTAATGTTTTTCTCACAGCTTAACATTTCATTATCATGACAAACATTCCCATCGTAGTTCTATTTGCAAATGTAAAGAACCTAGATTTATCATTAATCGGATCATTTTGACTAAATATCTTGAAAAAAATCTCAAAATTTCATAAAGCTCATAATCATGAAATAGCATCTCACAATTATTTGTATCCGGTTAATATGGATATGCATCTGTAATTATGTAGTGTCTGTGTGTTATGACTCATGAACATTTGGTTATAAAAACAAATTTATATATCATATAAGTAGACTTCCATCCATCTATACCACTTAAACTTTTCAAGGCTTCAGGAGGAATGGGGCCAATTCCACTCAACCTGACTTGATAAATCATTATTACATAATACTTCATATCCTGGAATTATAGGAAAATTTGCCATAATTATGAGATCTTATTGTATTAATCATATCTAATCAAATTATGAAATTATATTTTATAATATTCATAATAATGAGTTTGTAGATAAATTCTTACTCATAATTATGTGTTGAATGACGAATGATTATCAATGAGGCAACGCCTGTAAAGTTTGTCATGATTATTATTCACAGTCCAGATTCTTATATTGTTAATAATATACTACAAGTAAGAACAATTCTTGTTTACATTTCTATAATGGCAAAGGGGGAAAAAAAACAAGGAGTAAAATGGTTTCAAACATGGTTTTCTGTTTTGTATCACATTTTTACACTAGAAATATTCCACATACGTGACTCTACCTGCAGGGTTCCTGATGTACTGACACTACAGAACAGAGTAAAGATGAGCCACCGGCAGTGAGTGATCATGTCATCATGAATCATCACATGTCTGTAGCATGTGGGCTGCTGCGTTGAAAAGACAAATATTTTGACTCTTACATGTTAGTGATTTTAGGATCAAAGCCAAACTTATCAAGGAAAATAAAAGATCAAATCTAAATGGAGGAAAACAATGAAAACAAAAAAACAAAAAACAGTGATATAACAGTGAGTCAAAACTGGGACAGAGATTTTACATCTGGCTCTTGGTGGATTTACAGTGTGATCAAGCAAGGGTTCACTGCCTTGCTTCAGGGCCCTTCACCAGAGCTCTAATCTGTGGATGGACATACACTGGCTGCTGGGAAATCAAGCTGGAGGCATTCTGAGTTCTCCCTCACTCACTGAGATTTTCAAAGCTGACAGAGAGCTATAGGCGAACAGAGCTGACTCCAGATCAGCCTCTGAGGGAATACAACCTCTCATTTCATCTGAACCAGCTCTCGAAAATGTGTGGCAAGTCCTCGTCAAGCTGCCATGCTGATCTCTGTGTGTCATGTTGTTAGCGTACGTATGATACACTTTCACAAACCGTGTGGCTCAGATATATACGTTATTCAACACCGTCACATGCAAAGGTCAAAATGCCGGCCATTCTCACATTCTCAAACAAGGGATCAATCCTTCAAGATGCTCGACCTGAAACTGACAGGGGGGGGTCACCCAAAGAATAAACAAACCCCCGGTGGTATAAAGCCATGAAGATACAGTAGTTTTGGTTTATATAACAAAACATTCCAACTTGAAAGTTTGTCTTCCAGCTGGTTCCTGAGCTTTGAACTGCATCACATGGCATTCATTCAATGGCTCTAGCTGATTCTGGCTATTTGCGCTGACGAAAACAATGTGATAGAGCTGAAAGCTCCAGGAAACTCGTAGTTTGAATTTGGCAAGGATGAAATTTTTGTCGGATGTCTATGAGGATCAAGAATAAACTCATGTTGGTTTAACTTGTGTTGACCTGTCATGTTTCCTCTGCTCCATTATAAATGTGACTAGATGCCACCACAGGTTGGTGAAAGATGTAGCTGTGTGAATCTGCATGATCTCAGAATGTGGTAAATCAGATTCTCTGCTTTGTTTGAATGCTGCCAGTGGGCAAATCTACAAGCATCTGAATGCAGCCCGCCAAGAACCCAGGAAGCACTGGTTTTCTGTGTTTCACTCAAAGCACATCTGTGGTTCTTCTCAAAACTACATTCAGAATATTAATGCGAAAACATACTTGAAAACTTTGCATTAAGACTTTTCTGTATCATAAGTGGAGTTAAAGAGCAACTACACACTAAGTACGAGATGTTCTGAAAATATGGACTTGGCACATTTGACTTTAACTGCAGGTGCAATGGTGTACATAGTAGCATCCTTACCAACAGACCTGCATCCCCATCCCTACAGCCTGCCACTAGCAAGGCTGAACAACGTAAATAAAACTGTGCAGAAATTTGATTTCATTTTCAATACCATTTAAGTTTACAGATCATTTTCAACTTTTCTTATTGTCTGACTGCTCGCATTTAATGTTAAGACTACCAAGGTCTGTGGGTGCACTTTATTTCTAAAACTAGCATTTTGTTGGATCAAAAGTGTGCGTTGAGTCTATGACAGCCTTCTAAGACACAAATCTTGAATATAAAAAAATCTAAATAAATATTTTAAAAGTTCTATGTGTATGTACTCGGCCAGTTGAAGTCTTTAATTTTGAAGCAGCAGCAAATGTCAAGCAGCATAGCGTCAACTCAAAGACAACTGTTGGAAAGTGAACAAACTCGAGATCAATGAGGTGAGGCAGTATTACTACTTTTTACATTAGTAAAGCATTTGAATGCATCATAAGCTGTTTTTAGCTTTAAACTGCTCTACTCTGCATGCACAACTTTCTTCAAGCAGCTGGAAGTTAATCCATTTATTGAAAACTTAGTTACAACGGCACACATGTTATACTTTTATTGAACATTCATTAACACTATGGGATAACTGACCAACCGTTTTGGATTGCTAATTAGAAATTCAACTTCGTATTATTTACAGATGGTGAAGAATAGTTGAACAAGAAACAGTGCTGATTGAGGAATTTTTTATTTGAAACAAAACCTAAGAATATTTCATTGCATCAACTGAGGAAAGTCAGCTCTCAGCAAAATTTTGAAATTAATATGTTACCAATGTGCCACAAATAAACATCAGAGAATAA